ATATACACATATGTGTGTATGGTGTGTGTGTAAGATCTTTGCTATCCAAAAGGTTTTACTCCTCATTTGAGAAAGCTTTTCATTGTGTCAGCCAAATATCAGATCTGTAACATTTTTTTATGTTTTGCTTGATTGTCAGTTTATTTTATTTTATGTTTTGTTTGTTTGTTTTGCAGGCATTATATCAACCTTCCTTCATGTCCATCCGTTTGGCGCCAACCTGGAGTATCTGTGGTCATATATACAGAGGCTAGACTCCAAGGTAAAGGCCACACGTGTTTTTGCACCTCTGAGTTGTGTTTAAAATTTTATGAATGAAAAACAAGCTCAAACCATCACCCCTCCACCACCATGCTTTACAGTTTGTTAGAGGTATATGAGTCAATATTTAAATTGTATTGCAAATCTGAAGTGTTGTAACAATTCAAATACCATTCATCACAAACTGTTCATCCATCCATCCATTTTCTTTACACACTTATTCCTGCTCAAGGTCACAGAGATCTGCTTTTTAGTACAAATAAATTGTTTAACAGTTTTAACAGTTACCATTTTATCCTCATTTACTTACCATCAGTTGTCATTCGGTTCCTTGCAACCCTGTACAGATCAAGATGTGCTTCTTTTCATAAACACTAATGCATCTGTGCTTGATCATTTACATGGAGTGCTCATATTCGCTCAGTTACAATGCAGAAACCATCTAGGCTCAGTCGTTCCACTGTGCAGGTGAATCAAAGCGGATGGTGCTAAAATGAAATGCAAAGAAAACTCTTTATGTTTCTAGATAGACATAAGTGGTCAGAATAAAGATTGATGTGTGGTTTAAATCATTTCTTTCTGGAGATTGAAGGTTATTCAACAGGCTGTAGCCCAGAATGCACAGGACTAGTCATGCTGATGATAATAATATGAATAAGTCTGGTTCAGATTTGCCTATCTTCATTTGTACTATCATAGGTTGAATTAGGGGCTGTGGTAGCTGGGTGATCAGTGTTGCAGTCTTGTAATCCTGAGGCAGTTTGAGTCCAGGTTGCGTCAGGAACGACATCTGAGTGAAATATGTACTAAATCCTGAATGCCAGTTTTCTCACTGCAGAAGGGAGGAACTGAACAAGCAACAACAGCTCCCATTGATTTAATTATCTGTTCTACAGTTTGGGGTGGTTGCCAAGGTCCATTAAAAGTGTCCTGATCATCTTTGACATCTCTTCCAGGTGTCTGCGATGGAGCTGGAGCGTCTCATGGTCCGTCTGCCCAGTATGTTCAGGCAGGAGCTGAGTGGTGTTGGAGCCACTCTGGAAAAACGATGGAAGTTCTGTGGTTTTGACAGCCTCAGTTCAGCGTGACGCAGGACCAGCACACACAGGCACAGGACTGGCAGATCAACGTGAACAGTCACACAGCAACTCAAACTTTTAGTGTTGAACAAGTGTGTTCATGTGTGTGTGTGTGCCTGTTGGTAGAAGATAAAAAGTTGCAGTGCAGTAAACAGGAAGCACTGGAATCATTGAACAGATGAACAGTCGAGCCTCAGTAAGCTCCACAACACTGTGGGTCCAGATGAAGTGCTGTCTCTTAATGAAGGTACTTTTTCAAATGAACTCCAGCAGAACTGAACGTTTTACACAAAACTGTCCGTCAGTCCAGAAGCCTTTACTTTTGTTTCAACTTTGAACTGGACAGTCTGGTTCTGGAGCGGCCTGAAGCCTCCCACCATCGACACGGTCTACACCAGGGGTGCCCAATACATTGCTCTCGATCTACTGGTCAATCTTAAAGGTCTTATTGGTAGATGACATGGCATTAAAAATAGACGTCAGCGTATCATCCATCTATGAGATTTGTCTCTTGATTGACAGACTGGGCAATCAGTCTGAGGCCCCGTTTACACGACGTGACACATTTGTTCATTTAAAGACAACAGCCTCGTTCTCTCTGGAACTGAAGGTTTCTGAGTCCAGGTCTCTGGAGATTTTCAGGGGAACCTCCCACAGAGGAGTGAAATGCTACGTGTGAAGTGGCACATGCACACTACAGGTGGCGGCAGTCCAAAGTTTTTCTGCTCTAACAACAGTTATAATAAATAACAACAGTTATAATAAATAACAACAGTTATAATAAATAGATCCTTCCTGTCTACAGCCATCAGCATCTATAACATCTCTTAATGAAATGAGGATAACGAGTTACAACAACAAATAATTTCCCTTTGGGATTAATAAAGTATTTTTGAATTGAATTGAATTGAATTAAAGTGATTACTACAGTTCATAATTTCTTATCTGGCAACCCGACTGACGTGGAAACTACAGTATTTTTGTGTAAACCCGCTCAACATTGAAAAAATACTAACATTTCTAGAGGTTGTTCTCGTGTAAACGGGGTAGATCACTTTGACTTGGTCGTTTGAACAGTAGCTCCGTGATGAAAAAGTCTGGGTATCCCTGCAAGGACAGAAGGAACAACAGTTATACCAAAGTGGACAAAGATTTCTAGCCAAACCTCAGTTATAGCTGGTAATGCAAATAATTCATTGTTATGTTGTCTTTGAACTTATTGAGTACTGGAAACGAGTTACTGCTGAGTGTTCTGTAGACTGATGAAGACACAGACACGTAGATCAGTCCATTTGTCCACATGTTGGAAGTCTTACTCTCCATCTGTAATTTAAGGAAAATCAGAAGCAGAAATATTTGATGGTAATCTTGTGTCACTTTCCTGAATGTGATTTCTGGAAACTTAACATTGTGTTTATTATTTCTTCTTCTGGAGATTTGCCTTCTTTTATCAGAAGTGTATCAAATGATGACTTTTGTAAAAGTGGTTATTTTAAGCTGCCCTGCTGGCTTCCTATTCCTATTTGTATGAACCACAACGTTACTTGTTTTCAGATGAAAGATTCCTGTTTTGATTTGGTCCATTTTACCAGGGTACTTAAATAAAAAGCTTTTCATGGAAAATTGGGTGGTTTTTTTTAGCTCTTGCACAATTTTCTTTAGTTCTGATGTCATAATTGATGACAGACAGAATTTGTCATAATCACACCCATTTAAGGCTCTGCAGCTGTAATATGATAACTGCCCATTACAAGAAAACGCTGCACAGAAAAGTGTTTGAATTTGCAATTGAAAGGCAGCGATTGTTAACATTACAAAGAGAAATAAGACGGACTTGTTTGGCTGAACTTCTTTACATCATTCCATTCGTCACACATCGCTGGTTAAGATAGAAGGAAAAAGAAGTGGACGCTGCACACTGTGGTGACTTCACCTGTTGTTGCAACATGGCTCCCACAGCTGAGCAATCTTAGCAAACACTGAAATGGCTATTACTAAGGGTGCATTCACACTAGCCCTGTTTAGTCCACTTTAATCGAACTCTAGCTCGTTTTCCTAGAAAGTCCGGTTCGTTTGGGGAGGTGTGAACGCGCCATCGAACACTGTCACGGAACAAAAAGGCGAACTCTGGCCCGGGCTAAAACCTAGGTCTCGGTCCGGTAGAAGAGAACTCCAGCGCGGTTCGAGTACAGTGTGAATGTAAACAGACCAGGCCCCGCTCCACAGGGTAAACAAACACACATTTCTCTGACCTCATATGGAGCCGTCAGCTGCCTTGTGTGAAGAACAATATTCTCCATGGTCTTCTGTCTCATCTTCTGCTCATGCTGAGTCCATTGTTGAAAAATGACAAAATATAACTCCTAAAACTGCTAAAACTTGATGCCACTTCGTTTTTATTTTTATTTACAGAAGAAGAAGAAGACGCGTCTTCAGAGGTTTTTGTGTTGTTTCTTTCAGTAGTTCTTGGTGCAGCGCCCCCACAGGTGAGCGGGGGAACAGGTTGATTCAACTGGTTGACTCGACTGCACAGTGCAGTGTGAATGCAAACGCACCAGCTCAGATGTAACAAATCAATCAACCTTTATTTAGACAGGTAAATCCCATTGAGCCTCGAGGACTTGTTTACAAGAGAGACCTGATTTCAACAAAGAAAGATGACAACAAAGGACAACAGCAACAACAATAAACAGTTATAAAAAGTCTTAATACAGGTTTGTTTGGTTTTTTTTTGTTTGTTTTTTTAACAAATAGGATGGCTAAAAGGAAAAAAGGAAAAAGGAAAAGGTAACAAAAAAATAAAAAACAGCTAGATTCTAAGGCGAATGTAGAAAACTAAAAACAGGAACATGTCTGCATTGGACCCTGCCAGGAGTCCAACAGATTCTTAAAGACACTTAGAGAGGTCAAAGGTCGAGAGCTTCAGATCTTTTTACAAGATATTCCAGGAAACAGGAGCGGAGTAGGAGAAGGCTCTTTTGCCTAGATTTGCCTCATTGAGGGAACACTGCAGGTAATAATGTCCTGAGAGCGCACGCTGTAGCTGCACTCACTCAGAGACATGTAGGAGGAGATGTATGAAGGCAGCAGACCAAGAAGTGATTTAAAGATGAAAATGTACCAGTGGGAGAGTCTGTGTGAAGTTAATGATGTCCAGTTAACCAGTGAATACTGGGTGCAGTGGTGGGTACGATAATCACAGCCAGTTATGAATCTTAGTACACCATGATAGACAGCATCCAACATCTGCAGCATCCAACATCTGCAGCATCCAACATCTGCAGGTTCTTGTAGGAGCGTTCATGTAAATAATGTCACCGTAATCAATGGAGGGAAGGAAAGTCACAGAAAAGGTCATGAATATTGGTCCCGAACCGAACCGAGTCTACCAGACTATCTGGTGTGAAAACAACCTAAGTCAGTTTTACAGCATGAGCTAAAAACGATATAGCTTTAGCTGAGCTACATGCAACACACACTGAGTGTGAACAAACCTCACACAAGATGTCAAATCACATCAGATCTTGCACAACTTTATTTGAAATTTGATTGTAATGGCCTTAGAACCTTTTTTCTCCACATGAGATAATCTAAAACTCTGGCATGAAATGTTTCCAGCAATATGCAGTTCTTCAAGGAATGCTAGGCCCATAATTTATGGAATGATGATCAAAACGACACTGCTCAGGTAATTAATGTTTATTTTGGCATTTAAATTTTATAAATCTACTATAAACAATGAAAGCAATGAGAAGAAAGGAGAGGGCATGGAGAACATCTGAGCTCAGCATGCAGGTGGGAGATTCAAGGAAAAACTCATTGTGTCACCTCTTTTTACTTTTCAAGTATTTCAAGTTGCAGCATAAATGTGTTCAACATTGTGAGTGAAGGTTTTGTCCCATGAGGCTCTGTTTAAATAAGAAACAAGTTTTTATCAAAGCTAAGATTTTGTAGTTATTTGAATGTGTCCCCATTAAAATCTTTGTCTTAATGAGCTGCTTTTCTGTAAAAATGTTGTGCTTTTTGTCCTCTTTCTGACAGTATATATATATAAATATATATATA